ATGACTATATGTCTACTGGACAGATGTTAATACTGACTCAATCAGGCAACCAAAAATGGGATGGATCAAGCCAGGAGGTTGTGGTGGACACCAGACTGGAAAGTCCAGCTGGACTAGCAATAGTCTGGGTTACCAGCAAGCTATACTGGACTGATAACAGGAACAAACCAGACTGAAGCCAGTTCAGCCTGAGATGTTGAGTGCAAGCACTCCAACTTTTAGAACACATCAAGTTACTGTTCTCCTGGGGAAGGAAAACAAAACTAGGAAAAGGCCTTTGCTCTCTGCATATGCCTATCTCTGACTTACAAGCATAAGTTTCAGATGTCAGATGTGTCACCAGAACAACACAACTATTGCCTGTGAATACATGTATCCAAGAGATATTTCTGCTTGTAAGGATAGCCAGGGTATGGGGTAACATCATTTATGTCAACCCATGTGACTGGGGAGTAGAAACTGACCTCCACCTTCCCCAGAGTCCTGCCCACAGTTGCCAATGCCACCACGGTACATGGGTGTTTCTGTGGGGGTCCATTAGGAGAAACAACTTCTGCTGTCAGGCTCACTTCCTGTCTTGGAAGATACACTAGGCTGTTCCCAGAGAGAGTGTTCACCATTTGCCACATCTTTTCTGTTACTGCTGCAATGATTAAGTATGGAGCAATGTCTGTCTAAAGCTACTCTTTCCTGGTGGAAACAAAACTGTACATTGATTGACTCCCTGCCCCAAGAATGGCATTAAATTCTTATTAGTGCGCATTCAGGAACAGAATATGTAAATGCATAAAGTACTTCAACACCAAAGTAATTTGTAGATGCTAACAAATGCAAATCAGGAGTAGCATATGCCATTCAATTGGGCCTGTGACAATGTGTGGCAAAATGTTGTGAATCAAATACATCAAGGAAAAAAATCAAGCTGGAAAATACAGGATTCTTGGTGATCTATGCCCATCTTACATCATAAACGTTCAGTCACTGAGGCTCAGAAAAGGATTGTTTGACGCATGTGGAAAATTTTAGTTGCCTATCCCATGATGCCATTACTACACATTAGGATTGGAGGAGTACTGCTGTTGCAATTCAGCATGTGTTCAAAGCTAGATGGAGAGTAGTTGGCCCAAATTAAAAATGGCTATGGGATGCAGAGGGAGAGAGTGTGTGATTACACTTATGAGACTGTAGGCAAGATACATCCTTCTCCTTCCCAAAGCCTAAATCTCCAATTTTTCAAAAGCACAAAGTATTTCAGCATTATTCTCAATATCCCTCAGATTGTCGGTGATGAATCATCTTTAATGGTCTTTGACTATGTAGATGGTCTGGCAGGGTGCAAAATGCCTGTGTTCCATTGCTACTCACTAGCAATTGCCTGGTGCAAAGGTCACCTATGGCACAGCAAACACATTTCATGTCTCTCACAGAACTCACACATTTCCAGTCTTCCAGGCATGCTTATGCACCACATCCAATGGATGCAGCAAAGGTATTCATCTTTAGTGGGAAAAAAAATGAGCACCAGCTTCAGGTACAAGCAGTGCTCCACTGAGAGTTGAGCTGACAGTGATTAGCTTAGTGTAACAGTCATGCAGCTGCAACAGCTCATTCCACATTGTACTCCTTTACCTGTTCACTCTGACCTTTCATTTACTCATTTACCTGCTGTCTTTACAGAAACCTCTTAGCCTGATTTCAGCTGATTAGAAACAAAACTAATCCAAGTACTTCTTCATTAATCAGTCAGGAACTTTCTTACAATGGTTTTCAGCCATTCTTAAATGGTATTAGCCTGTGGCCAGATGGTTACTCAATAGATAATCCAGCAAAGTAGAAAGCCTCTTAGCTACTCATGGCACCCAATATTTACATTCAGACCTATTCTTTCAACCCAGCTAGCATCAACTTAAATTCCTCTCAACAAAAATGGAAGTAAAAATCATCTTTAAAGGAGTATAGTGGAGAAGAAAATGCTTTGGAGAAACAATTACACATGGTAATGTCTGCAGGAAGGAGAAAACTGAGAGGGAAGATGTGACTGAGAAGAACAAAGCTGCCAGAGTGGAGTGTAATTACATCTAGGGCTCTCTGTAGATATGCTGAAAGACTGGATATTGAAGAATGACACTTAACGTAAAAGGACTGTAATGGGTTACTTGGCACTAGTCTAGAAAAGGCTAGAAAAGGACAGGGATAGAACAGTTATTATCTGCACTATTGTGACTGCCCAACAGCAACATTACGGTGTTTAAAACAGGTTGTGTATGGTGTTTCTGCCATTAGTCCCACATATAACACCATCAACTCCATTAAAATAGTGGATTAAACATGCAAGACATAGTAAAATGCAACACTTATCCCCAGTTTTTAAAACTGGTAGTAAAGGGAGGATAACCATGTGGCTCTTGCCCAGTATGTGCTAAGGATGTGGACATTACTGAGGACTTAGGAGGTTTCACTCTGCCCTGGTTGTGCTTGCCCAGCCTTACTGGGTCAATTCCTGCAAGTTGCCTTGCAACTTCCCTGCTTCAGTTTCCACATAAAAAGATTCTTATTTTACCAAACGATTTCTGACTTACTGTCATAAAGCACTACATGAGAGCTAGTTATGAACCTGGAATTGCTCATAAAATGAAAACATCCAGACAATAACTTAAGCCTATGCAGACTTGTCCAAAAATCTTTTCTCTGTGCGAATAAAAGTAAAACTGAAAGAAATACTGTTTACAAAACTTTCTGACCTCAAAAAATCCCAAAACAGTGTCAAACCCAAAACCAACCTAGATTAATACGATGTTAATGCTAACAGTAGAATACAACCATTTCTTGTGTTTTTTCAAAATTCAGTTTGTAACATTTAGATATTTGGCAAATAAATCCCATACAAGCACAAGCACTACTCCTCTGCGAGCAGTGACCTAGTGAGCCAAAGTGTGCGCTTTCACTCCGCTTGTCCAAGCGGTGCACTGCTCTGGGAACCGTACACATGGCATCTGCAGGCTTCCCAAAGCCTTGCCAAGGCCAAGGCCAGTCCTGTGTTCAGGTGCAGCTGTGCTCAACAGAAACCTCTTTATAGCTATTCCTGATCACTGCTGGCGTCTACTTCTCATTCACAGGATTCCTCTGGACATTCTTCTTTCTAAAGCCTAAAAAATACCCTTAAAAGGTATTTTAAAGGGAAGGACCAGCTTCTCACAGGTCCTTTTAAAATTCTACACACAGATCACACAGCTTATGGTCTGCATGACCTGAGGAACTTTATGCATAGCATTGTGGTTTTAGGCTAAGTCCACTAAAGCTATGCAGATTACAACTAATGGCCCTCCTTAAGTACGTGTGGAGAATTAAGGTTTATATTTAGCACTTCACACCCTAGCCTTACTTTCATTTACTTCAGTATCCTCAAAGGCAAAAAGGCAACACTGCCCAATAATGAAGTTCAGGCAAGCGTCAATATCCCTTTTACCCAGAACGTCTATTTTTCAAAGGTGAGGTTTGCACAGCAGAATCCCAGCTCCTCGGTAAATGCTTCCAAAAGTGTCAGCTTTTCAAGCGCTCTCTCTCCCAAACCAAATAAAGCACCACATGCAGGTGTCAAGAGCTCTTTATACAAGGTACGACTCGGGGCAGATTTGCAAGGACAGAATTCCTGACGGCCGCAAGCTACGCTCCTAAGCCCAGCAATGCCCAGGGCTGCACGCCTTCCCCACAGCGGCCCAGGGGAGGTGGCAGACCCTGCAATCCTCGGCCTGCGAGCCAGCTCTTGCTCCGCTTTGGGGTACAGGCAGGCTGCGGGCCGGACCCCACCTGGCCTCCCCGTCCCTCCCTGCAATGCCATGCCGCAGCCCAGCGGGGCGGTGCATGATGAAACTTCGCGGCGGGTTTCAACAGCAGCGGGCGTCGGGGGGGAGGAGCCCGCACCGCCGGGAGCTGCCTCCTTCATCACCCGCCGCGGGGGACAGTGGCTATTCCTGCGCTGGCGGCTGGGACGGGGTAAGGCGCTAGAGCAGGCGGCAGCTTCAGGGTTACGGGCCGTGCCGCGCAGGGCTGGCCGAGGGAACCCAGCAGGGTCATGGGCCGAGCGCAGCCGCGCAGGCGGCTTTCGTGGGGAGCGGCCGCAGTCCCCGGCCTTTCCCCGCTCCTCCCGGAGCCCTCGCCCCGGCGCCTTCCCCGGCCGGTGGGCTATGGGCGGAGGGCCCGCGGTGTGTTGCAGCCGCCAAGGGAACGGGTGGCCGCGTGGAGGCGGAGCGGCCGGGCGCGGAGGGGACGTCCTCCCGGGTTTTAGAGAACCCCGGGGACCGTGGGGCACCGGGGACCCGCCACAGCTGGTGGGAAAGCCCAGTTCCACGTGCCTTTTGCAGTCCCAGAGGCGCGCTGCTTCTGGGAACCTACAGGCCAAGTGGTGGTGCGGGGGACCTCAGCCTCATGATGCCATTCAGGTTAGGGTTAGGGTTCAGAGAGCCACAAAGCCCACAGCTCCAGGGACACTGGGGCTGCAGAAGGTATGCCTAGGGGAGGATGGCACTGCACTAGCATTGCTCTTCCCACAGGTTTGTTACCTGAGCCGCCCATGGTGCTAGGGAAGTCCAGCCTAAACCTGCCCTCTTTCAGTTTGAAACTACTGCCCCTTTTCCTGTTGCTGCAGGACTTGGTAGAAAGCCTCTCTTAATCTTTCTTATAAGTCCTCTTTATGTGTTGAAAGGCCACAGACTGAAAGGACTGTCAGCATTTCTGCTGAAATGATGATACTTCCCCAGATGATACCCAATGCCCATGATTTGTAATGAATTGTTCTATTTGTGCGCTATAAAAAAAGTCATAGACAACCTTGGTGTACCTAAAGGTAAACTTAAGCCTAATTTCTTGGTGGCCAAAGTTTGTTTATCATAGTCTGTGCAAAGCAGGTTTTACCTCATGTTCGCAAAGTTTGCTGTTTGCTTCGTCGGTCCTTCTGACATTTAAGCGATTAATACCCTGTGTTTGTTGATTGTGTTTTCTGCGTGTCAGCACTTGCTTATAATGTCTTTGTGGAACAGGTTCTCCACTTCAGATAGATACACAGCCTCACAATGTGCGGTATCTGGGCCCTGTTTGGGAGCGATGAATGCCTTTCTGTCCAGTGTCTAAGTGCCATGAAGATAGCACACAGAGGTCCTGATGCATTTCGTTTTGAGAACGTCAATGGATTCACCAACTGTTGTTTCGGTTTCCACCGCCTTGCTGTTGTTGATCAGCTATATGGTATGCAGCCTATTCGGGTGAAGAAATTCCCATACCTGTGGCTGTGTTACAATGGAGAAATATATAATTTCAAACAGGTAAATGTTGTAGGGATCAATAAGCATTTGTATTTTCAGGTATGATGAGTTTAAAATAAAGATGCATTCTTCTTTATCTCTCGGGGAGGGAAATTCCAAGCCTCTTTTCTCCCTTTCTGTCTTTATAATCAAATGCTTCTAGGCTGTCTTGCTCTTAATTTCTTTTGGGTTGTTCAAGCTCTTCAGTGTTACATTTTTATTTTCTGCATATCAATTCAGCTGCAATATGTCACTTTAATATATGTATAGCATGCATGCTTAGGTATTTAAGTAAAACAGCAAGCACAAGGCAGATGTTTCCATTATGCCTCCAAAGTCCTTAGGTGTCTGCAGATGTGTGGAGCTTTTAAGAGCCACCTAAGTCAGTCCCTTGGGTGCAAAACAAGCAGCAACTCTGTACTTAACTTCCTAAAGTACCTGAATGACCCTGGTGGGTGTGATGCTGCAGGTGAACATCACTTTGTGTGCCTTAGTCCCTGTGCTGAGACATCCGTGCCCCCTATGTTACTTGTAAAGGGAAGTGATTCAGGTCATCCAAATTTGGTGTATAAAGCAGCTTACAGTCGTGACTCTTTCTGACTCATGCTGAAACTGAATGCTTAAAATTAATCATTAACTGAGTGTGGTAGTATCAGAAATATAGGACTAATCTGAGATGTCTTAGTACTTACTACAGTTTTGAAGTTAGAGAGAGGGAATGTCAGTGACATCAGTAACGTCACTGAGAATTTGAATAGGCAGGAGATAATTTTTTACCCCATCTTCAAGTATCTGTTCAAAAGGTGAGATAAACTTTGCCCTGTGGTACACGTGAAATGCATTGTACCAACAGTCTGTAATACTTGGTGTGTTTTGCATTGTAGTCTTTCTGCTGTTGAACCCTGTAAGAATTACTCTCAGTCGTGCTGCACACAGTCCTAAGGGGACTTGAATTGTGCAAAGCTCCCTTTGCCATCTTTAGGAGTTTGTTCAGTTGTTCTCATTACATAGTGTACGCTCTTTATATAGGGGTATAAAGAGACTTTTCTTTCAGCCTTGTGGCTGAAAACTACCTAGGAAAGGACCTTTGGTGAAACAGGCATTTGTTGAGGGAAATTACTTAGTTATATTAATATTGGCCCAATTTGATCCAACACTTTGCCCTATAAACAACAATTAAAACTGAAGAACTCAAAATGCAGAGCACTGGTTCTGTGGAGGTTCTTGGCTTGTTAGTGTTTTACTGAAACCCTCTTTCCCCCTGTCTGGTAGATAATGAAAGGACTCTAAGAGTAGGCAGACCACAAGAAGATGAAGAATATTTGGTCTGGCTTGAGTCCGACAGCTAATTTCTTCCTCACTGCATCTTCATAGGCAGAGTGAAAAGGTTAGTTTGAGGAATGGAGGAAGATTAGGCAGAAGGAAATGGCTCGTAAAGAAAAAATCCCTGAGGAATTGCAGTGACTGCATAAGTAAACCGGAGTTTAATTTTTAACTACTCTGCAGAGATGTTACCAGTGTCTGTGTTTTGGAGCAGGGGGGGCTTCTGTAAGTGTTGTTATCTGATGAGAAAGTACCACTGGGTGATTTCAGACTATAATAAATAGTGTCTTTGATGGTCCTGTTTTGGGTTGGGTTTTTAGAAGCAGAGACTACCTGTGTCTGCCATTTGTCTGTGGGAGATGGGGAGCCTAGTGCTTCTGAAGATCAGGGTCATGGGTTTGCAGTTTGACATCCTCAGATAGAAATGTATCCCTTAAAACATGCCATAATGGGAATTGCTTAAGACCACAGAGTCAATTTACATTGTCTGAGAGATGATCCTGGCTAATATTTTTAACGCAGAAGTATAATTGCCTTCTTTGGCAAAAATGCTTATGGAAGTTTTGAACTGTGATTTTACAAAAGAAAAATATTTTTTCTTACTAAACAATTACATGAATGGTGTTGGGTGGGTTTTTTTCCCAATTAAGAAGCAGTCAGTGTTTGCAAATTCTTATGTTTTCTTTATATTTTTTTTTTAGTTACAGAAGCAGTTTGGGTTTGAATATCAAACATTAGTGGATGGTGAGGTTATCCTTCATCTTTACAACCGAGGAGGAATAGAACAAACGGCATCCATGCTAGATGGTGTATTTGCTTTCATACTTCTGGACACTGCAAATAGAAAAGTGTTTCTGGCGAGGGATACCTATGGAGTCAGACCACTGTTTAAGGTTCTGACTGATGACGGATTTTTGGGTGTCTGTTCTGAGGCAAAAGGTAAGACCAGTTGTGTTTAGTGCCTAAATAATCTTAGATATTGTTGTCAGAGACAAACTACTTTGTTAGGCTTTTCTTCTAAGCGTGACAAGAAAGTGAACTGTAAGTTCAGTAATAAATGAACTATATTTAGAAATCTAAGGGCTACATATTGTTAGAACAAAACCCACAGATAGTAAACAGTACGGATGCTGTTGTGTGAGGTGTAACCATTCAGGTAAAAACTCTGACCTTTCCCCCCCCCCCCCCCCTATTTTATCTGTAGGACTTATCAACTTGAAGCATTCATCATCCTTATGTTCTAAAGTGGAGCCATTTCTCCCCGGTCATTATGAAGTGTTGGATTTAAAGCCCTCTGGCAAAGTTGCATCGGTGGAATTAGTAAAATTTCATAGCTATAAAGATGAACCACTCCATGTTGCATGTGATACAGTGGAAACTCTGCCTTCAGGTAGTACAGCAAAGCATTTCCTGCTGTTTCTGATTTAAAGAGAAATTGAGTGGTTTAAAAAAGTGCCAACTGGAGGAACCTTTATAATGTAAGGACTTAAGAATTGTTTTTGTAGACGCTCATGTACAAAGATAAACTTGCATGCCCTCATTATCAAAGGAAAATTTAGACAAATATCTTTGTTTCCTAACAGCATGATCTATCAAAGTCTAAGTGGCGTTTCTTTGTTTTCTTTCCTTTTCTGTTCTGGATAGGCTTTGATGTTGAAACAGTGAAGAGCAACATCCGTATTCTGTTTGAAAATGCTGTTAGAAAACGTTTGATGGCTCACAGAAGGATTGGTTGTCTTCTGTCAGGTAAGTAGCAAGAATCACAGTGATTCTTTGACTGTCTTTCACCCATCTCTGTTAGTTAAGACAAAAGTATACTGGTTGTTATGCTGTAATGTACCTGAAGTGATACAAATCTTCGTTTGCTTCATAGAGCAGATAACAGAGAACTTGTTAGTTTGTAATAAAGTTTTCCAGTTTACAAGTATCTTGAAAATCTTACACTTTTAAAGCATACTCTGGTGTGGGATGTTGGTTTGTGGAGACATTGACTATTTTTAATGAAGATGAAAAAACTATATTGAAAAATAACCCTATGTACACTTAAATTCATAGATTCATGGTTTAGGTCAATGTCTAAAAAGAAAATGTAATTACATTTACTTTGCATGGATTGAGCATAGAAAAAAATCTTTGGCATGTTTCAGATAGCAGGAGGAAGTGAAGTTCTTACTTGTCACCTTCTTTGATTTAGCCTCCATCCTAGATTGCCCTTGATTTACCAAATTACAGGGGACCATCTGGACCAAAATTGATTGCTACAGTCTTTTTCAGGTGAGGTACAGGAAGTTGTTCACTGACTTAGGTCATCTGTGATGTGATCTGGTGGTTCAGTGTTATAGAGGTACTTTTAGAGGTAAAGCTTTTGTAGCCTTGAGATTCACATCTTATTTAGTTTTGTATCACTTTGTACTTGTGGTTAGAGTTCTGAAATGCTGTTGATGCATTCACTGAACATCAGTAATTGCACTCATATGTAATGAGCCCTATTACATGTGCATTTGAATATGAGAGAACTGGCTAGGAGATAGGGTTGGACCATTTCCATACTGTGGCATCATAAAAAGTAGGATGGAGATAAATGAAATGGGGAGATACATGGAGTTTAAAGATCCCAGCCTCAGTAAAAAGCCTGTTCAAACCTCAAATTTCACATATCAAATTAGAAGGCAGTCAGCAGCTCCTCAGATGTGCATGCAGAATGTATTAGTAGCAAAACTAAGTGCCATTGCTGGTACAGTACCAGAGTGTCTCAGTGCTTCACAATTTTGACTATGCTTGGAACATCACAGTTGGAGAAATGCTTTTGTTTACAATCATATAGGCAGTTCTGCAACTTTGCAGTGGAAACTCAGGTTTTGATTTCCCTGATTTCCACATCCTAAGCACTCAGTTTTATTTCTGTGTTCCACTTTTCTCAGACTCTCATGTAATTTCTACATTTTATTTGCAAGGTGTCTGTCATGTCCACAGAGGGGATCGGGGTGGGAATGGATACTAATGCAGTCAGCTGAAAAAACCACATGCAGACTGTAGGAAACTGAGAGAAGAGGATTTTGTGTTATGCTTGTTAGAACTGCAGGCAGGTGTGGGAGAACAGGTACTGTTTTGCTCAGTATTTCAAAGGAAAACAGCAAGTAGAACTAGTCAAGGTTTAGCAGAACTACCTCATGAGAATAAGAAGGTGGAGTCTTGGGGTACATCTAGGCAGCTTGTGTATCTCTTGGGTTTGTTGTTTGTTTGCCAAACTGTTCAAATCCCTCACTGTTCAAGAAAGAAAGGAGGGGAAAAAAGAATGTCACTAGTGAACCTTTTCACTTTGAAGTAATGTTTATAAAAATAATGGCACTCAAAACTCACTTTTAAAATGATTGGGAAAGAGTAGAATCCTTACACTAAACATTCATTTACTTTATCCTCTTTCTTCAAACAGCAAACCAAAAAATAAATCACATAGTTCTGTCAGTGAAGCATGAAATGTGTAGGTAGGAAGAGGATAGAGAAATGAATCTCATTACAGAAGAGTTGAGAAGAGGCATGTTTTGCAGTGATACAGTGTTTTCAGAATACTTTCTGTCTATCTTAAAGAAGGCTTTCTACTGATGCTTTTGACACCAAAAGTACTAACAACTGTTACTGAAGATGTTCCACTAAAGCTGTCTAATTCTCTTGTTAAGCAGAGTTAAACTGCACTTGTACAAGAAGTACCTTGGATTCACATGGCTTAAAAATGAAGCCCACACATGAGATTCCACTATCTAGATTCAGTGTCCTCAAGGGGAAGCAAAAACCAGGCAAACACCTAACAAAATAATTTGGTTTGTTGGCAGGGGGCTTAGATTCCAGCTTGGTTGCAGCTGTTCTTCTGAAACTCATGAAAGAAATCAACATCAGTTATTCATTACAAACCTTTGCAATTGGAATGGAAAACAGTCCTGACTTGCTGGCTGCCAGAAAGGTATAGTAAGTGTTGCTTTCCATTTGTTCGGAGCTGCTGAGTGCTAAACAGTGTATATTAATGGTGCTAACTTCATGCTATGGTATTAATAGTAACACTGAATATTTAAGTATTGCTGTGATGTACATCAGTTTGCAGTAAATCATTTAGTACAACATTGCTGCTTAGTTAAATCTTATGAGAGAGATAATTTAGCTTTACCTGTTTTCTCTTGTATTTGGAAGACTTTCATGACAGACTCTCACTGTGTTGTTACCGAAAGCATGGTGCTGTGGAGCTGTCTCAGTTCTGCCTCTGTTTTAGGATATATCTCCATGTTGTGGCTCTTATCCGGTGGCATTTGTATATACGCTAAATGTTTTAAGTTAATAATTAGTTTATTGAATTAAGAGCCTTGGACAGACTGTTTGCCATCTGGGGTACTCTTTAGTTATGCAGGCTGTCCTGGCTTTTGAGCTGTTTTTTCTCTTCAGGACAAGTATCTGGAGTATTTAGAGCCTTTAGAAATGCTGTTATGCTTTGGGCAAGCAGCTGGATGGCTGTTGTAATCATGATTGAACATTGTAATTAAGGAGACTATGTTTCTTCTGGTGAATGTACCACTGCAAGTCAGAGGCTGCTACAATATCGTCTTTTCTTGGCCTAGTGTCCTGTAATTCTCATTGTGACAGAATGGAGCTGGTACTTTCATGCAATGTGTGTGTTTTTTAAGAACAATGTATGTTTAAAAAATGTTTTAATTGAAAAGCAATACATTACTGTGAGCTTTTGCAAACAGGTGGCAGCACATATAGGCAGTGAACATCATGAAGTAATATTTAACTCTGAAGAGGGAATTCAGGCGATAGAGGACGTTATCTTCTCCTTGGAAACCTATGATATAACAACTATAAGAGCTTCTATTGGTAAGACATTTTTTTTTTTTTTTTTTTTCTAACAGCAGCCTTTGCTTTGTATTGTCCAAATAAAATTTTGTGCAAAATCACATAGTCATCTACTAGATCCTTTAGAATTCACAGAACCTGAGAGCTGGAAATCCCATATTCTGCCCCCCAGTCTTGTCTGTGATGCCACACTGACACAAAACTGTTAGTAATTTCAAAGTCACCAACTGTACAAAACAATTGTCAAGAGCTGTTCCTGAAGCTTTGGGATGAAAACCAGAAGTTGTATGGAGAAACGTTAGATCTACAGATCTAGGTTTTCCTTGAAGGAAGAGGGAAAATGTACAGGTTATCTGAGGTACTGAATGTTAGGATAACAAACCAATTATGATTAGTATAAAAATTATTCAAGGAAAGGGTAAAGTGAAGTATTTCTTGCCACCCTTTAGTAACATGTTCACTCAAACCAGGTAGACTTCTTATAATGTATGTTTGATTCTGAGAAATGAAGGAAGTCACCAGCAGCTTCTTGGAAAAGGTTGCCAGCCTGATAGAATGAAAAACCCTAATCCAGTGTGACTTGCTGTGCAATGCAGGCTTTGACATTTTACCCAGTTAGTCTTGTGTCATCCTAAAGCAAAAAAATAAAGCCAAAAAGGCAACACAGTTTTGAAAACCCAAGTTCCCTGTGTGGAATCTGGGACATGAAGTTATGACTTTATAATGTGAAATATTGAAAGCATTTATTTAAAAAATAAACTTTTCAGCTGTCATCTTTCTTTGTGATTGCTGCTTAGTATGAACTGGATCCTTTTCCTTAGATCTCTAATACTTGTGTTATGAAAGCATATTGTTTGGAAAGATTCAGTGAGGAGAAGGCATTAATTCTGATTAATAAATAATTCTTGAAAAAAAAAAAAAAAAGGGCTTTATACAGTTCAACCCACAATGGCAGAGAGCAACTTTTGTTGGTAGTTTTCTTATCCAAAATGGAAAGGTTTCTTCAGGACTGTGCTGGAATTAATCATGTGCTTCATTTCAAACTGAATCAGAATAACACCCCTATGTGCTCCCATGAGAATCCTCCAGCGTTTCCAGGATCACAGACATTTCTTTCTAATATTTTGAAGGCTAAGTGTAGGTACACAGTTTAGATGTATCTGCAGTACCTAGTGTGGCTGTTCATGGCTTTGAATAACAATGAGATGTTATTTTTGCATATTGCAGTTGTTTGCCACAAAAGAAGGTAGTGTAGGAGAGAAACTTATAAAATGTTAATTTAAAACTTGTTTTCTGTGTATAGCATTAAAATACAGCTACATGTATGATAACTTTATACTTTTTTGTTTTTAAGGTATGTATCTTGTCTCCAAATATATACGGAAGAAAACGGATAGTGTGGTCATTTTCTCAGGAGAAGGATCAGATGAGCTGACACAAGGATATATATATTTCCATAAGGTAAGATATATTCCCTATGCAGAAATCCCTTGAACTGCTTGTTCTCCCCTTCAGTGGATAAATCTCCGAGATTCCAAGGTGTGATGCTTGAGAGTTGTCACAGCTGTGTATTTGTTGAGACTTTCTCCTCAGGTGGCACAAAGTCCAAGGGATTTAATTTAATCACATAATAAAAAACCAAACCAGAAAAAAAAAATGCAAAATTAAAAAAAAAATCTTGAGACTGTTCTTTCTTGTGTGCAGTCTTTGCTAGTTCTGACAGCACTTGGTGATCGCAACAACTCAAACACAGGACAGCAAGTAATGGTTTCCTCAGTGCAGCTATATTATGTGTATATATATATATATATAAATAATATATTATCCTGCCCCTTTATTCTGCTTCCTGTCCCTTTATTCTGCTCTCGTGAGACCTCACTTGGAGTATTGTGTGCAGTTCTGGTGTCCTCAACATAAAAAGGACATGGATCTGTTGGAACAAGTCCAGAGGAGGTCCACGAGAATGATCAGGGGACTGGAGCACCTCCCATATGAAGATCGGCTGAGAAAGTTGGGGCTGTTCAGCCTGGAGAAGAGAAGGCTGCGTGGAGACCCCATAGCAGCCTTCCAATATCTGAAGGGGGGCTGTAGGCATGCTGGGGATGGACTCTTCATTAGGGACTGTAGTGATAGGACAAGTGGTAATGGGTTAAAACTTAAACAGGGGAAGTTTAGATTGGATATAAGGAGGAAATTCTTTCCTGTTAGGGTGGTGAGGCACTGGAATAGGTTGCCCAAGGGGGTTGTGAATGCTCCATCCCTGGCAGTGTTCAAGGCCAGGTTGGATGAGGCCTTGGGTGATATAGTTTAGAGCGAGGTGTCCCTGCCCATGGCAGGGGGTTTGGAACTTGATGATCTTAAGGTCCTTTCCATCCCTAACTATTATATGATTCTATGTGTGCTACATGCATGTCTGATTACAGGCACCATCTCCTGAAGAGGCTGCAGAAGAGAGCGAGAGGCTTCTGAAGGAGCTGTACCTGTTTGATGTGCTTCGTGCGGACAGAACTACTGCAGCACATGGGTAAAACATACTGTCTTGGATGCTGAGGACTTCTGTGATTTAAAAGCCTAAGAAGATTATAAAAGTTTTGTTGCTGTTGAGGAAAATACAACAGTTAATTGTTGACTTGCTGTTACTGTTTGAATAACTAAGTGATTCAGAATATTGTGGTGCAGGATAATTTTATTCCTACTGTCTGAGTTTAAAATCATTGAAGATGATCATTAGTCTTCAGAGTAGTAATAGCAGATGGGGTGCACCCCAGACTGTGTTTGAGCTGTGTATCTTAATGTAACTCGAGACACCACCCACTTTGGCAGAGCAGTTTGTAGCCTGAAGGCGTTTAAGCAACAGCAAACCACACACCACAAAATTTAATCCATTCTTCTGTGACTATAGGGCCCACTGTGTTGCCAGCTGGTACAGGAAATATCTTTTGTCTGGGATTGTACTAGTCTTCATAGAAACAGTGAATTAGAAATACAAATATGTAGAGTTAAGGAGAGAAGGCAAAGTCATATTTGACTTTGTTTTCTTCTGAGGTTTAGATAAAGAGGAATCTTGAATCGGGTAATCAGCACGCATACGAAGAATTAAAAGAACTTAAAGAGGAAAGTGTGTACATTGAGTCTGTTAGATGACTGTAATAAGTATTGTTGGGAAATGGCTGTAAATTAGAAAAAGACGGTACCTTTGGCAAAGCAAATAACTTGCCTATTGGAAAACTTGTGTAGTATATTGATCCTGCCACAAAATGACTTGCCCAGTTTTTCTACTTTCTTACATTTCTCCTTCCTGTATAAAAGATGGACAAGCAGTAGTCCCGCCATTTGCCTCATAATTTGATTTGGGCTGAAAAATTTGGCCACATATCCAAGGCTGTTTAATATCTCACTCTGGCTGCTTTTTGGAGAGTTGCGTTTTCCTGAGGTTTTTTGGCATGTCGGGTATTACCTGAAGTACTTGAAGCTCTTTAGCAGAGGAAAAGGTACAGAAACAATGAAATTACTAGTATGCAGCATAACGTCTCTATTTGACTTTGAAACTTGGGCAGCTTAATGTCTCCCGAAGAAACACACTGAGAGGGGGTCTTCTTACTGAAGACACAATTACTGTAATTCTATCTGTTGCCTTCAGTATCATTAGAAGTCATGGTATGTGTAGGAATATAAGGAAGAAGACTTTGTACATGTATAACTGCCACTGGTATAGGAGAGAAAGTGTGTAAATGGTGCGGAATCAGTAGTAAATAACTTAATGGTGTCCATGCGGCTCCTTTTAGTTTGCTTCTTGAGAACACAAACAAATGTGGATTTCAAAAATGATAGAGCAAAAAGCTTTGCTTGATTCTTTGACATCTTTACAAATGCTGAGCTGCAGATCTCGGGTTAGCAGCTTAGTAGTCCTCTGGGGGCAACAGGATTTTTTTGTTTTCCAGTGTATTTTTGCTTACATGGTCCAATGGCTGTTGCAAATCCTGCAGGACTGTAGTCTTTAAATTCATTGTGCTAGAAGCTGCCCAGCAGATGGCATCATAAATCATTGATATCTGTATTAAATCATAACTTTCCAATTTGATGAATTAAATGCAGATAGTCATGAATATGCAAGTGAAATTTCTTCAAAGTAAAAGCAGAAAAGCTTGTTTATATGGAGTACAGGGAATGCTTAACAGTAAAGAATTCTGTAAGTATATGGCTTGTTGGTTTAATACAGTATCTTTTTGTGTTTATTTTCCCTGTTTAGTCTTGAACTGAGAGTCCCATTTTTGGATCACCGGTTTACGTCTTATTATTTATCTCTACCAGCAGAACTGCGAATCCCAAAGGTATGTAAAACTATGGTGAACCCAGTGTGTTCTTATATATTCACTGGTTTGTATTTAAAGCATGACCAAATTGCTGAATTCAGTGGTTATGTTCTCTACCCAAAGTTAAGTATACTTTTAAATATTTTGCTGGATTGTTGGACTACTGAAACCCTTTTCTGATCAGACCTTCTGAAAGAAAACTGTTTCTTCAGTGTTTAAAGCCAAATATTTATACTGCCATTGGTAAGACTCGCAGCATTGTTTATTCTTCTGCAAACAGAATGGAATTGAAAAGTACCTTCTAAGACAGGCCTTTGAAGATTCCAATTTGCTTCCCAAAGAAATACTCTGGAGACCCAAAGAAGCTTTCAGTGATGGTATAGCGTCAGTAAAGAAATCGTGGTTTTCTATTCTTCAGGACTATATTGATCAACAGGTACAATACTACTTTTTTTTTGTCTTTCACATTTAGGTGTATTAGATATGGCTGCCAAGGGGAGGCAGTTCACATGCTTAGTTGGGAGAATAAATCTGGGTATGATAGAAACTTGAGCTTTGTGGTAGAGCAGCAAGATAAACTTTAATGACCGGTCTTCTGTCTTCTAATGGTCTTCTGATTAAAGGCATTTGAAATCCTAGATAGAAAGAAATGTTAGAGCCTGACCGAAAGGTAAGGAAATGAACAGCATTTAAGCATCTGGGTTGCAAATTAGATTGTATCGGCAAACAATTTCTGGGCTACACACAAAGCAGTTGCTTCAGCTGAAAGCACTTACATGAACTTACTCTGCTGAGTAACAGCATAATGATTTCATAATGTCCTTGCTTGTTTACTTCATTTATTTTTCCCAGCCATGCCTGCCTAAGCCCTTTTGCTTTTTAAAGCCTCTGCTTGCATTGCTAACCAATAAAGACCTACAGCATTTTGACTTTGGACAAAAGATAATAATCTCTGATGTACAGAGGCAGTTTAATCATCCAGAGGAGGGAATAACATCCCAGTTTACACCAGAGCACTGTTCCATAAAAATATGTGTAGTCAAGCCTGTAGATGGGTGCTTGTTGTCCTATCACCAACTGCTTATTTCCCTTTTTCTTTCTCTGTATCCAAGAAAGTAGTTGGGCCACAGTGTTGTGCTGCCTGCACTGAGCCTGCATTGGAGTACTGGGCCAAATTTATTTCATGTCTGTGAGGAGTTGGTCAACATGTTGGCAGTTGATGCTGCTTTAGAAATGACCTCAATTGGTGCAACTTTTCATCCTCCCTTTCTTTGTCAGCTTAGCATCTGCAGATGTCTTTGCCTCTTTGTCCCAGGTCTTTTGTTGCTAAGAGCTTGGTTATAAAAGCATAGTCAACAGCTATCTGTGAGCTGAAAAAAACCTCCCAAGTAGCCACTTACATGTCAGACTGTTGCTCTGGTCGATTCACAACAAAGAGAAGGATAGGAAGGAAGCTCTTGTGAGCTTACTAACAAAGGTGAATGTAACCCAAAGAGAAACAGAAATACAGTTATGTATTCATAAAGATCAAGAGAGACAGAGATTTATCTGTCAGAAGCCTCTGCTTCTAGAACAAAGTTTACTTTTTTATTATTTTTTTTTAAACTTTGGGCATTCAGTCATTGGTAAATCTTTGTATGTCTTTTATCTTGCAGCAAATTGACTTGTAAAGAGTTAAATGTATTTGCAGCTTAACTGGAGTTTTGCTTATGTCTACAGGTTGATGACCTTCTGCTAGAAAAGGCAGTGGAGAAATATCCTTTCAATCCTCCGAAAACAAAAGAAAGTTATTACTACCGGCAGATCTTTGAAAAGCACTACCCAGGGCAAAGCAACTGGCTGCCCCACTACTGGATGCCAAGATGGGTTAAAGCTACTGATCCTTCTGCTCGCACATTGAAACATTACAAGTCAGCTACTCAAGAGTAGCCTGTTGAAACAAGCCCCCAAACAGAAGTGCTGTGAGCAATTTGCATGCACTCTGCTTTAAAAACAAACAAACAAACATTGCAAACCTAAAGCTTAAATGGTCTTTAAGATGCATTTTGACAATGCTGTTGGAAATAAGAGCTTTCTGTGGTTAGTGTACTATTAAAAATTCACCCTGCTGTAGCAAAACTTTGTAATTCATGGGAAAAAACCTTATTACAAGGAGCTACCTTATTTGGCAGCTATATTCCTTATGTGACCTTGATTGTATTAGTTTGCCTTGCAGTCATTTAATATATGCTAATGTGAACTCTGTTTTGAGGACTTGAATAAGTGTTGCAAACTGCTGGCGGCCCTCTGAGCCAAGGGGAATTTGACTATTTAGTGGTTGGTGTTCCTGGCTGTGGGATTTGGATAGTCTGTCTATATTACTCTATTCTGAATGTCTTTTTAAGCATTCCTGAGAACCTTGATCTAGTTTTCAAAAGGTATTTAAATATTCATAGCTATGCAGAGATGCTTACTAGTATCATAGTGGTGGTGCTGGGTGTTACTCAAACTAACGGGAATTTTCTTTGTTATTGTAAAGCTGCCACTTAGTTGGTTTGAATCTTTTAAATATATCAGCAGTCTAAAGACATTGTAACTGTTACCAAAGAGCAGAAGAGACAAGAGAAGCCAAGTTATGCCTTTGTTTCTAACTCAAGGATTTCAATTCTTAAATTTATTTATTATTAAAAATAGAATGTTAACGGAGTGATTTGTGTCAATCTGATGGAAGTTACATGACTAAGTATTTTAAGAATTTTTTTCACTTATTATGAGAGTTTTTCCACCTGTGAGATGAAAGGTAGATTGGCTTTCTGCTCAACTGCATGGGACCAAATGTGTGGTGAACCAACCTCGTTAACCATAGATTCTGGTCAGACGAAGCATTGCTGAAGACAATGGGATCGGACATCTTGCTTGGAAAAATGGAAAAAAAAGTTTTCTTCAGAAACCACAAGAATTTCTAATACCCTACTGAACAACATGTGACTTTTTACCCAGGACAACTTTATTGACTACTTAGGCATGGGAGCTGCTTTTTTTAAAGGTAACTTAAACATAAGCTTTGTCAAGAAATATGCCTGTGTACTGCAGATTGACTTGATTGCCATTATGCCGTTTACGAATACAAGTGTAGTTTAGTGTCCCTCTCAAATGGGAAACAAAAAAAAATTGTTATTTAAAAGATAAAAATATAAACAATTCTGGTTTAAAATCTTCATAAAATGACTGTCTACTTATTACTCCCTCCTAATCCTGCATTTGGATCTCCCTTCTAGAAACCTTACTGAACCTCTTAGTAGTACCATAGAGCCCATGAACTCTCCAGCTATGGCCAGTAGTGGCCATATTTTGACATAAACTTACACAAACTATTTAGTTATGAATATAAGATGGGTAAGGTGTGTTCCTACAGCCTTCTTTACATGAGGTCCATGTAGCTGTCTTTCTGGATTTCTTTGAAGCAGTGAAGTATATTTTGACTTAGGAGTACAGAGCATGTTGATTAGGTACTGATGTGTAAAGACAGGATTTACTACTCACTGTAAATTTCCCAAGGCTGAGATGTTAAGAAAATAACATTTGCCTGAAGTAAAAATAAGCTCAACATGTTTTAAGGTCATTACTCGAATGTGCTTTCTGCTGCAATGTTGTCAGGTGTTCAAGGAAATCTATCTTAATGTTTTAAACTCCTTATATACTGGGCATTGACATGGTGAGGTTTGATGCTAGACTGGTAACCCTAATTATTTTAGCTTTTTACCGATGTGCAGAGGAAAATTACAGTGTTTGCTACCTTGTTAAAGGTATAAATCTAATTCCTCAATGACTGTTATAGTTTTATATAGAAGAGTTAGTATCAGTCAAGGTTGTTGCTTTTCTGTCCTCAGAACTGAGGTAAAATAGGGGAAATTGTGGTTAGAAGTAGAATATAAAACAATTACACTGAGGGTCTTGAGGGCTCTTGTTCTGACACATCTAATGTCTGATTCCATTAATAAGTTGTTGTTGAAGCAGGATTTAATACAAGGTAAGCCAGTCTTCGAGCTGGCTGTTGAAAGGAGGGAGGGACTGAAGTACGTGAGAGGATGTTTAGTTATGTAGCAAGGTAAGCTGTGTGTTCCTCAGTGACTTTCCTAGGGATAGCCAAAGCACATCCATCACTTGCGCCATGCCTATCGCTTATGTTCCTCATTTGGAATTTCAGGGGCTGTAGTTTTCTATTTACATATGAGATATTTGCATATCTACATAGACATTATAGTTGATGTAATGACTGTGATTTGGAAAGTCTTAGAAACTTTTAAATGAGCCTTGCTTTGAGTGCAGGCAATGCACAACATTTTTATTTACTTAAATATAGAATTAATTAAAATAAACAAGTGAGTAATTTTTTATTTAAAAAGCTTGAGAAAGGACAGAAGACAAAGGAAAGAAGTGGTTTATATGGCAGTGGTTTCTTGAAAGTTGGTAGGGGTAATAGCTGGGGCGGCAACACATAAATGTTGGTGCCCACTGCTTTCCAAGATCTGTTTGTGGTTTTTCACCCAGTCCTCTCTTCCACTTCCCATCTATTAGTTGCCTGGAAACTCTTCCAGCAAGAGAAAACTAGATGGGCAGCTAGTTTTTCCTGCACTGTATCTTTGAATGAGCTGCACAAAGGACATTGACAGTCCTTTAAGAGTCCACCCAACACTGGGATTTCTCCCACGCAAGCAGGTCAGATGGCTCGGCTCTGCAGCCTCACTGCTTTCCCCCTTGTGCTGGTCCAAGGAACCCGACAGGCAGACATGTTTTTCCTAGTGGTCCAAAAGGAGCATGTAAAAGTTTAAATTCTTATCGAGAGGTTGCTTCAAGGCATGACTTTTCAATATATCTTTTATTTCCTAGCCAGCAGATGGCAGTCGCTGTTAGCGGGTCTGCACAAACGAGCTCCTCATTCCCAAGGAAGGCACCCTCCCTCCTGCGTTTAGCCAGTTCCTTCACACACACTTGCCACTGGTATTTGTGTTTGAGCTTTGTGGAAGGGAATTTAATAAGTGCTAGATTAGAAAAGGGATAAAGCCAAGCAGACAAATATTGATTAATCGGTCTTGCTCAAAAGAGAACAGTGCAGAGCTTCTCATACTGGTGCTGCAGGTGAGAGTACAGCTAATAGCTGAATGCATTAGTATTGAAGGTGTTCAGTATTCAGTTTGAAAGTAAGTAAAAAACAGTTATGATATTACAAATCAGAAAGTTCAGTTAGAACAGATATAAAATGCCAGTTCTAAGGAAAACGGGAGATAATACCAGGCTGTGGAATGAGGAATGTTAACTTTACCTCTGAATACGTTAAGGGTTTGGGTTTTTTTTCCTATTTTTGTCATGGTTAACATGTGGATCGCAGGATTTCAGTTAGTCAAAAAGAGAGAACAGTGTGAGTCCTACTGGGGAATTTTACAGATACACATCAGGAAAATTTAGGGCCATACCTCGGCTTGTTTCTCAAAAGAATTATTCCTAAAAATGCATATATACATGCATTATGAAATGAAGTACATCATAGAAATTTGGAAAAATTATGTAACTGGCTAGTCCAGTTGTTTTATGAGCCCTGTGTGCTGATGGCGAACAGGAGCAGACTGTGTATACCTGAGCACCTAGACTGTCAGGAAACAACATCCTCCAGTGACCGTCAGTGGCATAATAGCAATGTCCGCTTTGGCAGACACAACCTTTCATCCGCTCTAGGCTCACACTGGAGAGAGGCCTTCTGGATTTCCTGTGTGTGTGTGTTACAGAGTGCTTAAATGAGGAATTTTCACTAAATAGATGATAATTTGGCCCGATTTATTCCCTTAGAAAATTATAATTCCAGGTATGTAAAATTATTGTAATTACTTCAATTCCTACACCATAATCATCTCAGAGGCCAAGAGGAGAGTAAGAATGATCTGGTTGCAAGAGCAGCCTCCATTTCTGCTACTATTGAGGGCAGAAATAGTTGCCTATATTAATAAACTGAATTACTTAACGTCTCTCACCATTGCTCTAGAAGACTGCTCTTAACACCTGGGGCAAAATGTATATTAATACAAATTACTTTTGATTAAAACCATTATTATTTTAGCACAAAAAAGAAGGGGGTGGTAGAAAGGAACGTTCTCTTTTTAAATATTTTAATACTCATTATACCAAAGTGATACAAATTACTGGCTGACTGACAACTTGCTAATAATAGCTTAAAAATGCAAATAGAGCTATTATCCCAATTGACACTAATTGGAATTCCTATGGCTGCCTGGGAGGGCAGGGCAGGAAGGTTTGATTGTTTCCTCAAGCTGAAATTGGGTTGGTAAGGAAGCATGGGAAAGATGTGCTGTGCGTAAACAGTTTGCCATCTGCAGACATCAGAATTCATATGTTTCAAGAATGTGTTCTGAAGGGCTGTCTTCTGCCAGTGTACCATTTTGGTGTTGGTTTGTTGGTGCCATGGGCTGGTCATGCTCATGCCCACTAAGTGCAGGCTTTGCCTGGGGTGAGTTGGCACCACCAGAATCCAAGCTGCAAATGCTCAGATCTCACAAACCAGCTATGATGTCTTTTGTGAATTAGAAACATTCATTGCCTTAAATTTGCTGAATTATAAACATTTTTTAAATACACTCTTCATGTAGCCACACTGTATGTTCCTCCAGTAATTAATGTGTATCTTCTCCAAGCAAGACTTGCTTGCAGAGGGTATTGCTTCAATTTTAATGTTTTGTCCACAGAATTACAACGTGCCTATTGTTTTCTGAGTATTATAACAGGGAAAATAAAAGGCATTTCTGTGTGCCAAAATTGAATGTGTGTGATCAAAGGTGTTCTTCTTGGTTAAGTGTTTTGAATACAAACTACTTCATGTAGAAAACAATATTAAAAGTATATTGACATATGTTGGTACAGGTAGGTCTTAGAACTCTATTACAGCTATGCTTCTGAAAGAACAAGCATAAGAAATGGTTTAGATAGGAAAAATATTAGTAGTAATATTAGTGTTGCTACTGCTGTTTGTCAGAGATTTTCTTGACGTTCAACCTTATCCTTTACCATTTCCTAAGTTCCTTTGCGCGTAGGTAGCGCTTTGCAGAAGTGGCTGTTCGGGTACAAGCTCTGCATTGCATTTCTAGCTCAACCACTGTTGTTACCCCTGCCAAGCTCCCTCACCCTGCTGGGCTTCCTCCCTCCAAGCTTCTGGGAGAGTGTGAAGCACCATGACACACAGTGTTTGGTTTTCCAGCAGTCTGCTCACATTTCATTTCTTGTATATGCAGTAAGTGGTGATACTGTTTAATTTGGGGATGGGCACAGGAAACAAGAGGTGCTGTTTGTTGCATGTGCTCTGCATACATCTCTTCAGAAAGGAGTTTCTGGGCTGATGAGTTGCTGTTTTATTCAGACAGAAGCCAGGTGTCTATCAGAGATGAGGCAGTGATAATTTTTAATGAATGGATATCATCACTGATTTCATACAGCCCCTCCTGTTGACAAATGTTTCAGTCTGTGCTCTCTCAAAAACTGAGAGACTAATACGAGGAGAGCCTGCTTCTCTCCCCTGAAAGATGTAGATAGATTTGAGGATGTTTGTACACTTGCAAGCAGCCAAGGGAGGAGGGGATTAAAAATCCCTACTCTTCCAGTAATGACTATTTCCTGTGAAGGGAAGCAAGCCATTTTGGAGGTAGTGTGAGGACATGGAGGTGTATCTGGAATTGCAGGCGGCTGCATCCTGACAGTACAACACAGTGTGCTCTCATCCCTGCACTGTGGGAGATGTTCATTAATGCAGTCTGTGATATTGTGGCTAAGGGAACTGTTCAGACTCATCAGGAAGAAATTTGGTCATTAGCAAAGTTTGCACTGGGACTTGCTCAGTATTTCTTTATGTTAAAGCAGTTATCCTAGCTGTAGTTTAAGAAGGTAGAGGGACAAAGTCTGCATTGAAATAATGGCTCTTGGTAACTGACGGAGCTGCTACTGGCATACTCTGAATAAACAACATTTTTAAGAGTCACTTTAATAATTTAAAAAACCCTTTTGATGTTATTCTGCTCTAGCTAATGGCCGAGGGCTGGGTTCCCCTTAAAGATTTCCAGATTCTTCCTTTTCTTTTGGTTAGGACCATGCTGAAAGATACATCCTCCTGTCATGAGCACAGCGAAGCACTTTCTCATGGCAAATAAGCGCTGCAGAGCCCAGGCTTGCCTGGTGAGGTGCATACATCGGATCAGACTCCTCTCCCAGCTCCCCAGTCTGTGGGGAGGCCATGTGTGCAATGGCTCTGGCTCCCTAGGATATGTTTAGCTGCATCTGCACTATGGAGGACCAGTCTCCATGCAACAGCAGAGAGATGGAGATGGTCCTCTGGGCCACATTTTGGGCCAGGCAGATTGCTGAGACCTGACTTCAGCATCCCCTGTCTGGGGGAAGGGGAGCACGTGTGTAGGGGAGATGGTGCCTATCAGAAGAGGAGCTGCCTGTCTTGATGCACATGAAAGACGTATTTTGAGGGGAGAAGAGAAGCAAAAAGGGGGCAGAGCATGCTGGAGGCAGGCTGTGATATCAAACTGCCTATAGCATCTCCCCAGTGGGGACAATAACCAGCACCACCCTGGATTTACTCTGTGCTGATTTCCTAGAAAGATTTTTGTTGCTTCATTTAAAGCTCACTTGCATTTTGCTGACAGATGCCCTTGCTGCAGTGTTATTGGTTCGCTTATGCAGCTTGAGGGATGTCAGACCATTGCCATCAAAAGAGAGCTGAGGTTGTGTCATGATCAAGGCTGGCTGTTGCAAAGATGGCAGGGGATTTAGTGGGAGCCTGTCCAAAGCCTGCAGTGGAGCTGGAGAGCTGGCATTGCCCAGCCATCCAAGGCACAAGTCACCAGGGGCTGCAGGCAATGCTGTCCAACACAAAAGTGTTTAAAAGCTGGAGGAGCCTCAGGAGGGAGGTTAAAACCCACATAAATTATTAAAAAGTCTCTTTGAAGTACTCAGTAACATACAGACTATATCACTCACTACTACAGACTGAAAACAGAAATCATACCTGCTTGAGGCTCCAGGATGGCTGTAAGGGGAAGTGTTTGGGCTAGGAGGTTAGTGGGAGTGTGCCTGCAGTGAGAACGGACATGCCTGCAGATGTGTGCGATTCATGCATCTCTACATCTGCCCAGACCCGCTGGACAGGCATAGACCCACATGCCCAGTGCAGCACAGGTTGGATGAACAGCCCCTACCAGTGCTGAAATACGATGAGCGTTTTTTGGTATTGTTGGTAGAGTCACTTGGAACATTTCAGGCTATGCCTTCTGGTGTGTGTTTGGTTTACTTTTAGCACAGGAATGTACGTCCATACAAACATATGCCAATTATAATTTTATTGATTAAAAGCTAAATCAGTGCAAATCTCATTATTTTGCCACCAGAAATTACAATGAGTTGTTTCAAATACCAAATTAAAACCACTTGTCATACAGCCACATGACAGGAGAATATTTTGATGCCCGGAGGGTTAGCCTTTCCTTCTAGAGAAAATGATAGTGGTTCGGTTGATACGCTGGAGGGAAGGGATGCCATCCAGGGGGCCCTGGACATGCTTGGGAGGTGGGCCAGCGCAGACCTCATAAAGTTCAGCAATCCAAGTGCAAGGTCCTGCACCTGGGTCAGTGCAATTCCAGGCACAGCTACAGGTTTGGCAGACTGTTTTGAGAGCAGCCCTGAGGAGAAGGACGTGAGGTGTTGGTTGATGAGAAGCTCCACATGAACTGGCTTCAGTGTGTGCTCGCAGTCCAGAAACCAACCGTATGCTGGGCTGCATCAAAAGGGACGTGACCAGCAGGTTGAGGGAGGCAATTCTCTCCCTTTGCTCTCATGAGACCTCACCTACAGTAATGCGTTCAGCTCTGGGGCCCCCCAACACAAGAGAGACATGAACCAGCTTGAGTGAGTCCAGAAGGCCAGGAATACGATCCGCTGGCTGGAGCACCTCTGCTATAGAGACAGGCTGAGAGAGCTGGGCTTGTTCAGCCTGGAGAAGGGAAGGCTCTGGAGAAACCTTATTGTGTCCTTTTAATATATAAAGGGGGGTTGTAAAACAGACTGAGAGACTTTTCACCAGGGCCTGTAGAAACAGGAGAAGGAACACTGTGTTTGAACTGAAAGAAGGTAGATTTAGGCTGGATATGAGGAAGCAATTCTTTATGATGATGGTGGTGAGTCATTGGAACAGGTTGCCCAGAGACATTGTGGATGCCCCATCCCTGGCAGTGTTCAAGGCCAGGCTGGAAGGGGCTTTGAAGAAACTGATGTAGTGAAAGTTGTCCCTGCTGATTGCAGTGGGGTTGAACTGGATGATCTTTAAAGATCCAACCCAAACCATTTGGAGATTCCCTGATTTTGCCAGAAAATCCAGTCCCAGCTCTTTGCTGGGTGCTGCTAACTAGTACTTGTGCTGCCCTCCAAACACTTAAAGCCCACTCTGTCATGTGTAGCTTACTCTGGATGTGAACATTTGCAGTGGTTGCTTCTGCAGGGAGGTTAGTGAGGGTTGTAGACTGCAGGGAGTGAGCAGTGGGCTTTTTCTTTCTTCTCTGTGTCTAGCAATTCAGCGCACACAGGCTGTGAGCTCTGAGAGCATCATGGGCTTCTGGGCTTGAGAAACAGCATGTTAAAGCTTTTTCTTTCTCATCACCCTCCACTGAGTGTTATTCAATGTGCATTTCCACAGTCCTTTTGCCATGCTGTTAGCCCAGCAATGTTCCCCCCTCGTTCAGATCAGTGGGAGCTCACACAGAAGTTAATTAGTTTGAAAATTAGCCTTGGCACAATGTAGAGCTGGCAGAGCTCTTGTACAACCACTGTATGTCAGACATAAGCCCTATCGCTACTCTGCCTCAGCCCCTCACCCCGCTAGAGCCAGTCCTATTTGTGTGGAAGTGGGGTCTGTTTTAACCATGTGCAGGCTTAGGCACTGATCCTAAGCTAGCAGGAGGGAGGGCTGATGCCCACCTGCTCTTAACAGGTTTAGTTGTGGGATGGTCCAGGTGAACTTGAAAACAGAGGCTGCTGAGTTCACTTCCAAAATGGAAAACAACAAGTTAAGTGCTTTGTACTACTTAGTTTGGAATTTGATTTGTACATGCTGTTTTCACTGCTGATTCATCTGTGATGAAAGCTTATATAATAGCATCAGAGAATAGCTTTTAGCAGGTGGAAAGAATACAGATCTCCAGATGCCTTGGCATCTGGCAAGAGGTACACAGCATTTTGGGATGGTCCTGGATATGCAGTAACCCGAGTTTTTAATTAAAAAGATAATTCCACTCACATTTTTTCTCTTATATGGTGTGGATTTGAGCCAATAGGTACTTTTATTGCAAACCTGAGCTTTAGAATTTCTTGAAAGGTTGGCTTTCAAGTAACGAACCTGCAATAGTGGATGCATTCCATAGCCAATTATTCCACTTGGAGCGGGGGGGTTACATTGTGCCCTTTTCATTCAGACAACACATTTCTTGATTTCCATCATGTCTGGGATGGATGGCACCTTGTGTGACCTGGAGCAATGCCAGGAATGTTTGCCTCCAGTAGCAAATCTCTCAGATATTTGCCAAACCCACACTAGGATGCGTACAGCCTCCCTGCAAAAGGAAGTCAGTAATTTGTTATTTCTTTCCGGCCTCAGACCACTGTTACCTGGATCCAAGTCTCATTCCAGACCAAGGTGGGAAATAACTCCATCACTGTCACCAGAGAAAGTATGTTGCAAAAGCCCCAGAGTAGTTTTTATTTAAAATGTTACTATCATAAAATTCCAGACTATGAAATGAAGACCTTGGATTCCCATTTGACCTTACCCACCCCCTTTTTAAAATATATAGATACGTAGTCACAAACATAAAGCATGCTGCAATGATACAAATATATTTTTTGATATGGAAATTACAGTACATTATAAACCATGAAAACAAATTGAGGCACTAGACTGTACATCCGCTCGGTTCTGCACTGGCTGTGAAGCTGATAAGACTCACTTTCAATGAACAAAATAATACTTTCTTCGTTTAGTGAACATAACTTTACGGGTCATATCAAATGATGTGCTTTATTGTGAGATGTCACCAGGGCTGCCGGTCCTTTTGGAACCACAACTCACCTACACAACGTGTCACTGCCACAATGTGAAAAATAATCATTTTATTGAATGTACAACTCAAAAAACCACCCCAAAACAAAACAGAAACCAACCCATCAGTTATTATTAAATAAATAATTATTCCATACAGTGGTTAGTTTATATTACACTGCATTGGCCATTAGAACAAACGAAGTTTAATAAATAATACACGGGGATGTCTCATTTACGCCTCCGTTCGTAATTCTGTGCTATGCTCCTTTCAGAGGGTCCTGTGAAAAAAAATGAAGCAGAATGAAGCAAATGGTGCAGCCTATTAACTCCCAGCCTCTTTACCTCCCAGGAAACCATCTAACTGAATGGATCTGAGCACTCAGGTAAGCTTGTGGGTAGAACCTTTCTTCATTGGCACGTCCACCTTCTGTCCTGCACAGTCAGCTCTTTGCCAGGTTTAAACCCTCCCTGTCCACAATCCCTGCACATAGGGATACCTTTTACTAAACTTTGCAGCAGGAGCTAAGCAAACCTCAGAATACCCTGCAGTGGACTTACCGCAGTCTAAAATAGGCTTCAGTAACATGTTTAACATTTTAGTAGCAGTATATCTCTCCTTTTTGCTCTTTTAAAATGAGAGGGAAACCCAGACAGCCTTTCTTGGGCAGAGCCTGACCATCAGGTGATGTAGCTGATCACTGGAATCATCTTTGCCTCCACCCAAAGGGAGAATTATTTTCATGGAACTTATGTCTTCCTAGCCATCACATGCAAACACGTAGCTAATTTTGGGGGGATCCAGCACTGCATTCTGCAGGGAGCCAGAATTTCGGATCAGTGACACTTTTAAACTACTAATGCTTCAGTTTTCACCACGATAAATGCAAAATGAGTTGAGCTTCCCCCATATGGATTGATACAGTATATTCACTGTACATGTGACTGTTTCCTAGCTTCTACCTGGAGCATTCATACAACAGACTTCACAGCCTGGGAGACAGTCAGTGTCAGACCCAAGGACTGAGACACCAGCATCCCGGTGCCCTGCTCTGTCACACAAGGCTTTAAATCAGCACCATGCTCACACCAGCAGCAGGGTGCCATAAGCTCCTACACACTGCCAGAGCACTCGGGGGCTTTCTGCAGAAGAAAATCATGGCACCAAGAAAAGGTCTTGTCCAGTTAAAAGTCTTCCAGTAGGGAGAAGCGGTGACAGTCCTTGCATGTACTCCTGATCTTGCTTTGATTACGCAGTCCTTAGGACCTATTTTCTCCTCCAGAGGAGCACAATAAAATTGTTACTATTTTCCTCTCGGGGAATTGGGCAGAAAAGCAGTGAATTCTAGTTTCACCTGTCAGGCAGGTATTACATAGCCCAGCAGGGTAAAACTTCATTATTCCCCTTTGTTATACAAACCACACAACAGTATCCTGACTATACCAGCAATTTTGAAATCAGGGCAATAAAATCTTTGCCTTTTTTAAACATCTGCTGTATTTTACATTCTCATATTAATGTAGATGTAATCCCAGTGGAAACCAAACCCAATTTATTACTTCCAGGCTATTTACTTTTGTAATAGCAGATATATTTACAGGTATTATGCATTTAATAGCTATTGCCACCACAGATAAGATTGTACAAAATTATTCATGATACATAGCAATTTGCAAGATGATGCAGAGAGCAATATTACTAGTCTGAACAGGGTTTAATTGAAAATAAAAGTTACTGACAACCATAATTGCAGAATATAGATCACAGTGTGTATCCACATAATATAAAGGTGTCAGCTAGTAATTTAACTTTTATCATCCATTTAACAGAATTGTGAGAACTGTTTCAGAGATGTGAAATACATATTAGGGGGTTTTAATTTTTTGTAATTTCTATTCTGGGGAATTAACTGACACTTTATGTCTCACAGTGAGAGTTTCCCTCTGTACAGCCCTATAGCTTCCCCCCCCCCCCCCAGTATTTGGAAATATGATGGTACCACAGGGGTTGTGTACACGAGGAAGGATTCTGCCCTATATGAATACTACAGGAAAATAACAGAAAACCACAGTATCAGTTCAAAGCTTAAAGCGCTTGTTCCCTGGGCGGGGGGGGGGGGGGGGGAGGAGGGAGGTATTAGGTAAAGTGAAAAGCTAGAAGAGGCTGGGAAGGCTTAACAGCTTGACCTGCAGAATGAGGCAGTATTAATGGCAGATCCACATTCTGCTCCAAGTTTGAGGAATAATCATCTTCAGAGATGAAAAGGTTATCGCTTTACCTAGGGACATCCCTGGTTTGGGATCACCACCTTAAATTAGCCTTACATTTTCAGGCAAACATGACGTTGGCAAGGACAGGGCAATAAGGGAAACGCCCTGGGGACTTCTACCTTGCTCGCTGCTCAGACCAGCCTGATCACCTCGAGCACTGCACTGAAGCAGACTCTGAAACATCCTTGTTAACCAAGGAAATCCTGATCCTTTCTCAGAGAACCCTAGGTCTACACTATATAAAGTCTGCTTCTTCCATCTGCTGGGAGAGAACAAACAGGCAACAGAATGAAGAGGCTGTATATCATCAAGTACCAGATTTAGTCATATACATACCAGAATTTAAAGATCTTTTGCCCATAAGTCCAACAAAGGAGTCTGTTTTATGCCCTGAAAAATATATTTGGGCATGTTTAAATACATTTTAAATAAGCAGGCTTTTAGATAACGTGTTCTTATGGGAAGAAAGACACAGGTTCCAAAACTGTTCATCTCTCAGACTAGTTGCTCACACCACTTGAACAACAGAGGATGAACATCAGTCTGATTAATCAGACGAAACAGGTTAGACCAAGGCACAGGCCAGTTGGTGGACACCTTCTCACTAAATTAGACTTTGTTTTGGTTTGTGGTTTTATTTTATTTTTTAATTAGAATGGAAAAAAACAGCAGCCAAAAACTGTTTCTCATTCCTCTCGTAGAGCAATTCCTATTGATTTGAGCAAAGGCACACAAAGGCAGTGTCTTGGTTTAGCCTGCATCTGCGTGATGCATCTCTTCTACCTGTTGGTGTTTTTTTCTCTAATGTGGAAGAAAAATCTTCCTCACAGGTCAGGCAGAGCCCTTACTGAAGGGGAGGCAAACAGGACTCTGTCTGGACATGTCTGAGCTAGACAGTCTGGCTCTATTTTTGGAATATTTATGAGTTCAGATATTACCTCCCTGTCCCATTAGTACTCCTAGAGGCACTGGATGTGTAGAGGATTAATTACTTCAAGTTTTGGTCTACAGGATGTATCAGGTATAGGGCTAGCCATAGTTTCAGATAAAGAAGAAGAAGAAAAAAAAAAACATTCTTTCTCTAAGCTGACTTTTGAGGCAAACTTAGAAGTTTCTCTTTGGAAAGAATTTTGCTTGGCTAAGACAAATGACCCTCAGACTTCACAGGTATTAATTCAAGCTGAAGTAATTTCAGAAAACTATGATTTTTTACTATAGGCAGCAGGTTATCTGACATGAGCTTTATTTCAGACTCTTTAACTGGTCTTCCAGTACGTAATCCTAGTGGTAAGACATTGTGCCTAACAGAACACGGGGACAGTTACTGACCCCTGTGGGCAGAGGTCTCACAGAATATGGTATCAGTTTTTCTTATTAAGTCTTCCAGCACCTGTCTGAGCACCTTCAGACAAATTCAGAGATTAAAATTATCCCTGTGCAGAACAAGGGAGCACCACTCTGCTGGTAACATCTCCCACTTACTGTTATCCAGATGCAAAACAAGGCACACTTATTAACAGGGCAAGATGTGTTATTTATATGGCAGCACATCATCAATCAACCCCTGCTGTTAGTAGGGGTCTGATTCCCAACCAGACAACACTGAGAGCATGGATACAGTATCTCATATGCGATGACATGGGCTCTCCCATGGAAGCATTCCTGGGGATTTAGGAATTCGCTATTCTAATTTTCCAGATTTTGCTATCTTAATTGCTCCTCTCCAAGTCTGGCAGTAAGCCTGCCTTGCCAACGAGAAAGGCTCACAGAATCCCCCCCTGGGGAAATAAGAGAGCTGCAGCATCCACACATTATGTGGATTGAAATCTCAAAGCTTGTGGCAGCTCAGATGATGTATAGGCTCATGGCTGTACGGGAACGTGTGTGTGTGCATGAATCCTTTAACAGAGTATTTCTCCACCACTGGTGCTGCCAGTCCTTAGCTGAACCCAATCACCTTCTAACTAATCCCCCAACTACCCTACTCCTCATTTAAATATATGAAAACTTTTAAAAATACTTCAGGTATTTGCTTTTTTAAAACTTACTTTTATGAGAGATCTGGCCATATCCTGATTGGAAGAGGAAAGGAAAGAGGAAAAAGAAAAAAAAAGGAAAAAAGAATTGTTGAGAGAGGATTGACATATACAAATGATGCTACTGCAATGCTTGGAAGAGTGAAATACAGAAACTGCTGTACACATATTCCATGTAGGTGATCATTTATAACTGCATTTCTCTTTGCAATGAGTACAAAAACCTGTTTTAGCTAAACTCACACAATTTAGAACTGTTTAGCTCCAGTTTCTTAGATCAATTCTTGTACTGGTAAACATGTGGAAAACACAGCAATAATTGTATACACAACAGATATCCACATTTGGGCAATTCAGTGGCATGACCAATTCCTGACCCATGAATTATTGCAATACTCCTTACTGGTATTTACATGCTATAATTGTGTTCACCTAGCGCTTTGATGGGAAACCTACTCTTTCCCAATTAGTGAGTTTATCTGGTATTAAACTTGCAAAAACCAAAAACGTACCCAAACACCCTACATGGCATCTTTGGGGAAAGGTTTATCACACTGAACCCGAGTGGTAACCGTTGTAAGGTCTGGGGTGGCACAAGGAGAAGGGACATGTTGGGAGACGAGAGGGAGCCCCCCCCACCCCCCGCGCTGCTCACCAGCATCCCGCTTGCCCATGAGGCCGAAGAATTGCTGGGGCCGGGGTCTCCGGGCCATCCTCTGAAGGAAGTGCTCCAGCGGCAGCGGCAGCTCCTCCTGGGGGGTGACAGCGGCCGGCGCTCAGAGCGGAACCCCCCCCCCCCCCTCAATCCCCAGTGCCCGCGGAGCCCCGGCCGCTCCCGACACCGGTACCCGGGCCGCCCAGCGCCCGCCGGGTCTCACCTTCGCCTGGTCACCGTCCGACCAGTCGGACCAGTAGCTGAGGTCGTCGGAGGCGGCCATCTCCTCGGCCAGCGCCCGCGCCGAGGCCAGGAGGAGCACGGCGAAAGCCAGGGGGAGTCTCATCGCCGCCTCGACGTCCTGCGGGAGGCAGGGGGTGAAGCACCTGCACCAGCCTGGGGGCATCCACACACATGGCCCTGCACACACACACTCACACCTTTCCCCCACTATGCACACTCCTTCGCACATACACACACCTCGCTGCACACCCACAACACCCCACCGACTGCTACATACACCCCACAGATATACATACACCCCACAGGTACAGATGTGCAGTTAGATACAGACATACAGATAGACACATCCATCCAGAGGTACACCTCCACACTTAGAATTATACATAAACACACCCTCACACACAGATGCACATTTAGGTACTCACACCTTCCCGCATACACACAAATTCACCCCACTCACACACATACCCAGGGACATACACATCTAGTTATAAACACATCTGCCCAGAGATACAGCTCTCTAAACACACACAGACACACGTACCTAGAGGTACATTTTGCACATTCAGATACACAGATCGGGACAGACACACACCCGTGTGGTCACACAAGCATGTTCAGGCACCCTCCCAATGATGCATACACATATAGACCCCCACACACATGCATACAGGCAGACACACACTCCAAACATGTAGACAAGCTCATCCTCACGTATACAGGTACACGGGGGTGGACAGGATCCCGGAGGCACACGCACCGTCTGTACCGGGGAGGGCGGGCGCTGCTCTCCGTGCGCATTAGCCGTCTGCGGGTACGCTCCCCACTTTATATACCTGGAGACGGGGAGGGCCGAGGCCGCCTCATTTGCCTAAATGAAATTACCCTCGGTTTTATCGTCCCAGCCCCGTGACAGACCCCGCCCCGCAGAGCGGCCCCCGCCCCTTCTCCCGCGGCACCTCCGGTGCTGCTCGGGGCCGGGAGCACGGGGTGGCCGATCCCGTCCCGTCCCGTCCCGTCCCGTCCCGTCCCGTCCCGTCCCGTCCCGTCCCGTCCCACCTTCCCCTCCTGCTGCAGCTCCGGGCCCCCGCCAACCCCCCGTCCCGGCCGGTGCCAAGGAGCGCCCGGGCGACGGCTGCGGCTGCGGGGTGCTGGTACAGGGTGCAGATGTGGATGTAAGGATGTAGATACCGCTTTTCACTTCTCCCCGCGTCCCTGCACCGAAGGGACAGCTAGTTCCCGCGGCGAGCTGTGGGTAGAGATCGGGTGAGCGGGGACAGCCCAAAGCAGGGAGCGGTGACCGGCGGACCAGGCAGTGGGACTGTCGGCCGTGCCCGGGAGGGGTCCTGCCAGCCCCGTCAGCGGGGATTGTGGGAGGAGCAGCGGGTGCAGGTCTGGGGAGCAGGGGAGCAATCGTGTGTGCTCTTGGTGAGGGTCTGTCGGCACAAGGCAGCCGGCAGGCACAGCCAGGATGGCTGCTCTGATGGGCTGATGCCTTCACTGGAAGTGAGCCAGTCTCTCCAGCAGCACATCCCTGCCTTCATGCCTGCCTTCATCCTTCCCCTAAGACAGCCTTGCATGGCTGCTGGCATTCTGCTCAGATAACTGTTGAGGTTATCTTCCATTTCACATTTTTTTCATGTCAATTGTGCACGTGTCATCTCAGTTAACTTTGGTGCTCCCTCAGCACCTGTGTTGTCATGGTGTGTGATACCACAGCCTAAATCAGACACTGAGCAGTTCAACAGGAGCTAAGAGCGCTTCCTTCGAGAAAGAAGGGAGTGCTTGGGAGCTGGAATCATCTCCCTGGTACCTGCTTGCTTTACGTTGCTATTAAGGTGGCCTTGCTGACAGTGGTAAACCTTCTCTCCAAGGACCATTCACTGGCATATAACTGCACACAGGGAGGGGACAGCACCTTCTTTGCTAAATAAAGGCACGATTAATACCAGGACTCCCTGTTGACCAGAAATACTCCTCAGGACCTGAAACATTATCCAAAGAACAGCCAGGCATGAGCTGCTTCCCTACTCTGGGAGGTCTATAGACACTGTGCACATAAGATTCTGGCCTTATGACCCGAGGGTCCCTCTGAAGTCAATGCAGACTGCATGAGAGAGTGGTGGAGAAAAACTGTGGTTTGGAGAAGCCTGGTGAGGGACTTCATATAGCCCAAGCTCCCACTGTAGGCACCTCTACTGAGACCTCGCACAGCATGAACACTCCTCATACTCTCCATCAACAAGCCAGCCAACCCTAGGAATCCAATCCATCAGCATTCTGTTCTGCAGCTCTGCAGCAATCCCTTTGATATGTGAACTTTGAAGACCCTTGAAGGAAAATTGTTTTCTTGTAGGTTTGGGTTGGGGTTTTTTCATTATGCTATTTCTGTTCACCATAATGACAATGGAGTAGAAGGTCAGATACATCATTCCAGGCTTGCCGAACCTGTGAGTGTTGATGAAGCTTATATTTTACAGAAAACCTGAGTACTCCCAGCTTCCTGTGAAGATAATTTCAGTCATCCAGGAGTCTGTGATAAGTATGATGAATTTGAAATGAAAAGCCCTATTTGTTCTGTAATTCAGCATTTTATCAAAATTAATGTAATCATAGCCTGACCTGTAAAATCACAGAGATTTTCTTTTTGGGGAGACCAAGAGATGAAAAATTAAAAAGGGGTCCTTTCTGTTCATCAGAGATTTTAATGAATTCAAGTACTTCATCTCAGACTGTTCTAATAGTTTGGGTGGAAGTGAAAAAATGACTAATAGGTCAAGCTTATTTTTCTCTTTCTCAGTTTCTAAAATAAATCGACTGCTTAATCTTTCTTTGACCTGCAATATCCAGACATTAGGCTATGAACTTTTCTGGAAGTGAGATTTCTTGGCTAATGAGCAACACTGATTCCTAGGAAGACTTTTTTAGTTCACTTTTTTAATATACATAAAGAGGAAATAGAAGACTCAAATAAAGGAGCAAGAGCTACATCTTGACCTGCAAGCTGGTCAAACTCCTGCTTTAGTGCTGCCCTGCCCCTGCCCTAGGGGTGCGCTAGAACAGGTTAAATGTACTTTGTGCACAAACAAAAAACAAGCCCCTCACTTTGGCAAAACATTGCCCCTGACTCAGACAAAAGATATTAGCGGCTTTTTATCTAGTCACTAGTTGCCTTGTGAATAAATATGTGAGAGAGCACACAGGTGCAAGATGTCTGTTTTGAATATCCCTGCTCTATCCACGCCCAGGGCACAGATCCTGCCCTCCTATTACAGTCAGACTGTGTGATTTCTAACAACGACCATGAAGATATTTGTTCATAAATAAAGAAATCATTAGACCCAAAGTAACCCAAATAGGGGCTGACATTTCCTGTGGGTGTGACAGAGAAAGGTGCTTTTGCAGTTCTTATCCAGACATTTCCCTAATCAAGGTTAGGAGCTGATTAAAGACGTTTATTGTGGCCCGAATCTCAACAGTAGTGGAACACTATTTGGGAAGAAATTGGCTATGAAAGACAACTGAGAGAATTGTGGGTTTGATGGGTTTAATATGATACATCCTGCATGATAACCCTTGTGAAGTGCTTATTTGAATTTTATGATGATGTTTTGTTTTCCAGTAAAAATATTGGATATATTGGGTGCTACACTGTTATCAAGTGATTCTTACACCATCAACACAGAGCTAATGTGCTATGGGAAAATAGCCAGTTGCATGTGACCAGGTAAGATTTTGTGCAGAATGCAAATCTGAATTGTTCAAGTATACACAACTTCATGTGTATGAATGCATCTGGCATTGTTCTTCAGTGGCTTTATGCTATGCAATAACATGCTATATACTTAAACCTAGACCCTCATTCTCTAGTGTATTGAGATCTCTTTTTTCATCACTTTGCTAGGGATCTACAAATAACAAAGACAGTCAAAGACTAGTTATTTCATGTAACTTCCAAACATTAAAGATGAGATGCAGCCTACCATAAGCACAGCGATTTTGTCTGTAAACATGCCAGACCTCAGCTCTGATTTTTATTGTGACAAGAACACTGGAAATGCTCTTTTGAAATATACAACTTTACAAAGTTTGGAAAGAGAGACTGTGATTGATGACCTCTTAAATTTTTCATAGGTACATGTCTCCAGGGGAAAGAGAATGAATTTGAGGAGTCTTTGTAACACTGTGATTGATTTTGATATTGTAAGATTATTTATTAGCAAAACATCCAGTTGGCATTGGAAAAATTAGCAAAACTCACACCACCATTCTGATTTTCTAATTAAAATGGCCAGGTTAATGAATCATTTTCACCTATATTTTGAATTTTACACTATTACACTACAGGTTTTTCATTGTAATTTTTCCTTTAATGAAGGTGTATATCTTCAGAGCATATGCTTGTACACATTAATGCATGTGACGCATATGTGATAAATATGCATACCTCTCTCCTCCCCATCCATAAAGAGTGAGAGATTATTCTTCTTTTGAAATCAGATGTTATCAATTCAATTGTATTGTGCTCGCAGGCAGGCAAGAAAGGGAGCATTGAGATGTTCTTTCTTTGTTGCCACAGGAATGTTCTTTCCTGGGCAGGTATATGCAGAAGGAAGGCTGGTCTAAGAGCTGGAAATGCAATGTTGGTCTTCGGTTCTTATTTGGTAAAGTTAATGGGTTTCCCCTCTCTTTTGATCCCTGTCATCTTTTACACTCCCATTGCTGTTCTGGCATCTTACATCTCACTTACCTAGGCTATGCTTCTTTAACCATGATCTGAGGACCACTTTTGTCCACACTAAGGCATATGGATGAGATGTGGGATGAGCTGAAAGGAAGATAAATGTCAGGGTATTCAGATACTGAATGTAAACATATGTAAACAAATAGTGCAGGCAAGGCTATCCTCCCAGCCTACTAGCTCTAGAGGCAATCAGCTCCAAGAGGAGTAAATGCTTCTTGAGCTACTTGAGAGATCATGTTCTTGGAGGAGAAAGGGCATTTACTCTCAACCATTTGGAGGTCACAGGGAGACAGAAACAAAGCTGCACAAAGCTATGCCTGCAAGAGCTGGGGGGAGCCTGGTGAGGAGAAGGGCCCCTGTGGCATTTCTAGATCTGTATTCATTCAAAACAAAAGGGAGAAGATCTGGACTTGCAGCTACTTGGAGATGCCTTACCATAATTCTCCACGTAGTTTTCACAAGAAACATGAAAGATGCGCTATTTGCTCATTTTTATTCAAAGAAACCATCAGTGAATGACATTCTAACAACACATTTTGATAGCAAATATGGAACAGTATTAGCCTTGCAGAGATAGTGTCTGTCTCTTTCAACTATGAACCCATTTTTTTCCATATTTGCCATCACCAGTTGAACAGCCAGGGACAGCCACGAGATGCGGCAAAAAATATTTCCAGAAGCTGAAGCAGCCTATGAGCATCACTGGTTTGAGCCTGACCAGAAAAAATCTGCAATGTGAACAACTTCCAAGCAGCCAAGGAGCAGATGCCTCAGATTAACTAAGTTCATCACTCTTGGAAGAAAACTGCTGACATCACTTTGTTCTGATGCAAACAGAGACCCTGTTTGTCTCCTGAATACTTATTAGATTACAAATATATTTATAAATGAGTTGATTTGATTCAAACTGAGGCTTCTGAATCTGGAGCTCACTATCTAAGGCGTTTTGCTTCAGCTGTGCAAGTGTATTTGAAAAGTACCTCACAGTGACCTGTGAGGATAAAGGGATGGTTTAAGTTTAGTTACCAACAGATTGAAGCAAAAAGCTGACTTTTAATCTAGGCCTTGCACACCTTCTCTAAAGCTTTTCTGTAGGAAGGGCAATATTTTCTCAGAGACCCCTCAAAGACTGGCCTTGGTCTTATTAAATTTTGCAGATGGATCATCAAAGCCAGGCCTTTGGCCTATTTTCAACACCCAAGTATCTTCTACCTATCCTGTCACCAGAACCTGTCCTCACTGCACTGAGCACTGGCTGGCTCCTGTCACAGGTGGTGGTGGAGAAGGATGGTCATGCTGGAGGAGGAACAACCTCAGTCCCACACCACGGAAGCAGCGCTTCTTGGTTATCTGGGAAAGCAACAGGCACACAACAGTTCCATTCACTCTTTATTCTTCTTCTTTTATCCCTGTGACGTGCAACAGCAGCCTTCAGTTCCTGGGGAAGAGGCTGGGCAGCCTTGCCTCCAGAACCTACTTCCAGACCTAATCCTCCAGGGAGGATGAGGCTTATTTCACACTGGGTCACCTGCCAAACCCCCATGCTACTCATGGCTGCTACGATCTGCACTTAAATGAAACAGTTTCTTAACTTGGGATCAAACACTGATGAATCATCCTCTTTTTTACTCTGTTTTAAAAACTAGATAATTTATATGGTTATATATTCATTGAATATTAATATTTT